CACCTGTATACATTGTACTGTTGGGTATTTGAATGTACACAATATTTGTATTCCACAGCTGTAAATTACACGTATTTGGTTCCATTCTTGAAACTAAAAAGTTTTGAGATTTTGAAGCTATGATACTAGCTATATAGGTGCCCAAGCTCTCTGAGCATTGTACATGTGTAATACATCCCATACTCTAGATCTACCTCACTGTATAAACAAGTCAATAAGATATTGGCCTGCAGCTTTCAGCTGACATAAACTGCTTTTCAACTGTTCAATATCCAGGTTTTTTTACTGCCGTCACCTAAACTGTTTTTCAACAGTTTAATATTCCCAGCTTTTCACTGTTGTCACCCAGACAGCATATCAGCTGCCCTGCCTCATATCCTTAAGTGAGATCAGACACAGCATATATAACTATCTGTCTGTAAACTTAACAACTCTTTTGAATTTTTTATTTGATGTGTTTTTATCTGTTACAACTCAATCCGACTTTATTGGAAATAAGTATAAATACAGACAGTGGTTGACACTCCAGGCTGGTAGCTGGGTTAGCTGGGAAAACAAGTGTTCTATAGAGTTCTATAGCTAATTGCCATGGCTTAACCGGCTATAGAAAATGGATGATGTGGTTGTTGATGAGAATGTCCACCGAGACTATACCTGTGTAGGTTGATTATGTTGTCAGAAAAACTTACCTCAACAATTCATATTTGAGATACTCAGGTAGATTAAGCATAATAACAATTGATGATTATGCCTCCCTAATACTTTTAGTTTTGCAATGTTACTCCGTTTTTGACAGAAGTCATATATATTTATACTGATAATATTGATAATACCTCTGATAATAAGTTAAAATTGTTTTGTTTTTTTTGCATATAAAAAAAATTGTGTTGATTAACTAGGTGGATAAGTTGTCAGATGTATATAATGTCCTCAGGTCAGATTTTCTGATTTTGTTATTGACAATTCCCCAGTGTACATATGATTCAGAAGCAGCTAGCTTAAGTCACCTGAGTTCAAGCAGACTTCAAGGTCTGCATATATATGTAAATATTGATCATGTGGTCCTCACTGCTGTAAACATGGTCATGTGATCCTTATTGCTGTAAACATGGTCATGTGATCTTCACTGCTATAAACATGGTCATGTGATCTTCACTGCTGTAAACATGGTCATGTGATCTTCACTGCTGTAAATATTGGTTATGTGGTCTTCACTGCTGTAAACATGGTCATGTGATCTTCACTGCTGTAAATATTGGTCATGTGATCTTCACTGCTGTAAACATGGTCATGTGGTCCTCACTGATGTAAAGATTGGTCATGATGTGGTCCTCACTGCTGTAAACATGGTCATGTGATCTTCACTGCTGTAAATATTGGTCATATGATCTTCACTGCTCTAAACATTGGTCATGTGATTGTTCATGCTGTAAAATTTTGTCAAATGTTGTAAAGCTGAAAAGTGATTTAAGGACATGTGACTAGCTAAGTGCTATATATAGCAACAACAGAAAATGGAAAGATGTTGTGAATAGGAAGACAGATGGACGGGGTGGAGTCAGTCGTAGGGGTAGAAACCCTAATAGACCTACAGGGTATAGCCAGATTGTTAGACCAGGTAACTCTCAACAATCAGGATTGAACCAATACATTAATTACATTGTTAGACCAGGTAACTAAACATGGTCATGTGATCTTCACTGCTGTAAATATTGGTCATATGATCTTCACTGCTCTAAACATTGGTCATGTGATTGTTCATGCTGTAAAATTTTGTCAAATGTTGTAAAGCTGAAAAGTGATTTGAGGACATGTGACTAGCTAAGTGCTATATATAGCAACAACAGAAAATGGAAAGATGTTGTGAATAGGAAGACAGATGGACGGGGTGGAGTCAGTCGTAGGGGTAGAAACCCTAATAGACCTACAGGGTATAGCCAGATTGTTAGACCAGGTAACTCTCAACAATCAGGATTGACCCAATACGTTTATTACATTGTTAGACCAGGTAACTGTCAACAATCAGGATTGAACCAATACGTTTATCACATTGTTAGACCAGGTAACTCACAACAATCAGGATTGAACCAATACGTTTATCACATTGTTAGACCAGGTAACTCTCAACAATCCGGATTGAACCAATACGTTTATTACATTGTTAGACCAGGGAACTCTCAACAATCAGGATTTAACCAATACATTAATTACATTGTTAGACCAGGTAACTCTCACCAATCAGGATTGAACCAATTCGTTTATTACATTGTTAGACCAGGTAACTCTCACCAATCAGGATTGAACCAATTCGTTTATTACATTGTTAGACCAGGTAACTCTCAGCAATCAGGATTGAACCAATACGTTTATTACATTGTTAGACCAGGGAACTCTCAACAATCAGGATTTAACCAATACATTAATTACATTGTTAGACCAGGTATCTCTCAACAATCAGGATTGAACAAATACGTTTATTACATTGTTAGACCAGGTAACTGTCAACAATCAGGATTGAACCAATACGTTTATCACATTGTTAGACCAGGTAACTCTCAACAATCCGGATTGAACCAATACGTTTATTACATTGTTAGACCAGGTAACTGTCAACAATCAGGATTGAACCAATACGTTTATCACATTGTTAGACCATGTAACACTCAACAATCAGGATTGAACCAATACGTTTATTACATTGTTAGACCAGGGAACTCTCAACAATCAGGATTTAACCAATACATTAATTACATTGTTAGACCAGGTATCTCTCAACAATCAGGATTGAACAAATACGTTTATTACATTGTTAGACCAGGTAACTCTCAGCAATCAGGATTGAACCAATACGTTTATTACATTGTTAGACTAGGTAACTCTCAACAATCAGGATTGAACCAATACATTAATTACATTGTTAGACCAGGTATCTCTCAACAATCAGGATTGAACCAATACGTTTATCACATTGTTAGACCAGGTAACTCACAACAATCAGGATTGAACCAATACGTTTATCACATTGTTAGACCATGTAACTCTCAACAATCAGGATTGAACCAATACATTAATTACATTGTTAGACCAGGTAACTCTCAACACTCAGGATTGAACCAATACGTTTATTACATTGTTAGACCAGGTAACTCACAACAATCAGGATTGAACCAATACGTTTATCACATTGTTAGACCATGTAACACTCAACAATCAGGATTGAACCAATACGTTTATCACATTGTTAGACCATGTAACTCTCAACAATCAGGATTGAACCAATACGGTTATTACATTGTTAGACCAGGTAACTCTCAACAATCAGGATGGAACCAATACATTAATTACATTGTTAGACCAGGTATCTCTCAACAATCAGGATTGAACAAATACGTTTATTACATTGTTAGACCAGGTAACACTCAACAATCAGGATTGAACCAATACGTTTATCACATTGTTAGACCATGTAACTCTCAACAATCAGGATTGAACCAATACGTTTATTACATTTTTACCACTGAAATGTCAGAAATTATGAATAAGGTAAAAAATTCATATCTTCAAATGTGATGATATAAGACAAGAAAGACTTGAAACCTGCAAATTCTGTTGAGATAAAAATAAAGTGACGATAGAGTAAGCGGTTGTTCAGGTACATTTTTTAAATATTTACCAACGTATATGTAGTTACCTAATTGTACTGAGTTCATAACATTAGTGTAAGTAAATCTTACCACCAGATCAATAAAAGCAGACAATGGTAGAATGGCCTTGGGTAGCCCAATCAAAACAAGCATGATGTCATTAGAATATGGCACCAAATATTACACTTTATATTACTGCACTTATTTGATGCAGCAATTGTTTTGTGCTTTTAATTGTAATAAATAACAAATTTAATGCTTTTCCTTTTGAATACACGATATAGTTTAATCATTGAATCTTTTTTTATAGCAGATACATGTAGTTCTGATTATATGCATGAACAAATATTTTTCTGCTGTATAACAGATCCTGATGACAGATTGAACAGTATATTAATTTAATTGCTAATTATGCAAGGTGTCCCAGAAAAATCGTTTCCATTTTATGTTATTATAATGTTTTTGACAGGGAATATTTCAAAGGCAATATTTATAAGTTTTGTTTTCCTAGGAAAACAGTTGATGTAGTAAGTGTAACATAATGAGGTAAAAATTGTGACAATTAACTGATTGCTTCGTTATCAATATCAGAAACCTTCTATACGAACCCTGAAAGTTAGCTATATAGACATCTGGCTACAGAATTTGATGTTAAGGGGATGTCACAGGGAATGTCTGCAGGGCTTGGAGTCAACTTCATCTGGTTAAGGGGATGTCACAGGGAATGATTGCAGGGCTTGGAGTCCACTCCATCTGATTAAGGGGATGTCACAGGGAATGATTGCAGGGCTTGGAGTCGACTTCATCTGGTTAAGGGGATGTCATAGGGAGTGACTGCAGGGCTTGGAGTCAACTTCATCTGGTTAAGGGGATGTCAAAGGGAGTGACTGCAGGGCTTGGAGTCGACTTCATCTGGTTAAGGGGATGTCACAGGGAATGATTGCAGGGCTTGGGAGTCGACTTCATCTGGTTAAGTGGATGTCACAGGGAATGATTGCAGGGCTTGGAGTCGACTTCATCTGGTTAAGGGGATGTCACAGGGAATGATTGCAGGGCTTGGGAGTCGGCTTCATCTGGTTAAGTGGATGTCACAGGGAGTGACTGGAGGGCTTGGAGTCGACTTCATCTGGTTAAGTGGATGGCACAGGGAATGATTGCAGGGCTTGGGAGTCGACTTCATCTGGTTAAGTGGATGTCATAGGGAATGATTGCAGGGCTTGGAGTCGACTCCATCTGGTTAAGGGGATGTCACAGGGAGTGACTGCAGGGCTTGGAGTCGACTCGACCTGGTATGTGAAGCAGAAAGAACGGTTATATGCTTTCACTGACTTGCGTTGTGCTATTCTACTGTTTCAGCTGAAGCAGTTACTGACGAATGCGTTTGATGACTTGATTGACGATGATGAGTTCTCCATCACGTCAGATGAAGGTGGTCCATCAACAAATGCCAGCCTCCACCTCGGCACCAAGACGGAGAGTCCCGGGTAACCAGTGGTGTTCATTGTAGCTGATCCTAACAAATACAAGGAAACAAGTAGCTTATATATATATAGTGATAAATAGTTTTAAATGTCCATGTGATGGTAAAAATATAATTAAAACAAAACACGAAGACTAGTATATATACACCTACAGCGGAACCTGTCTTAAGAGTCCAAACATTTTAATCAAATACCATGTAGCTGATATATACAGTTGAATCTGGCTAGTTTTAACATTAAAATAAAATACATAATGTACCATAGATACTAGATAGAGCTGAAGGTTGAATTCAATAGCCCTCGACCATTGGGTCGCGGGTTCCAGGTCTATGTGGGACAGTTGCGAGGTACTGGCCACAGGTACTCCGGCTTTCCTCCACCACCAAAACCTGGCACGTCCTTAAATGACCAAAGCTGTTTAATATAATTAATAGGACGTAAAACACAAACAAACCAAACCAGCCCCTGTCTCCTTCTAAACAATTCTTAAGTTGTGATAAGATTTAGACATATTGACCTGTAAAAAAAATATTTAAAAGTAAAACTACAAAAAAGTGTAAAACGTAATGATTTCTTACAATACAAATATTTTAAGTCATTTTCATGTGTTTTGGATTGGTCGACTGGTCAACCCTCTGGCCTTCCACGAGGGCGGCCGAGGTTCGATCCCTGAAGTCGTCGTATGCATAAATATTCAGAGAAAGTGTTTTTCTCCAACCCAGTTGGTTGCGGTATCTGTGCTTTAGCAAGTGAGGTGGCACTACATAAATGATGCCGTTGGAAGCTCGGTCCCACAACAAACAGAACACATTACATCTCCAGCACACACGCAGGCATACACACATAGGGAGATATCAGCCAGGTGGCATAGGACTAGTAGTTAGCGCTTGATAAGGCAGCTCCTGTGAATTCCTCAAAAATTGTATTGATTTATGTATATGCTAATTGTATTCTCTTAAACAGAACTATCATGCCTATTCTTTTTGCCGAATTATTATTTCCAGGGTCTACTTTTCCTGATGATTGTTCAATAATTATCTATAAATATATCGATCATCTACATTGTGTAAAACCATTCGTAATGCCCAAATGACAGTAGACAAATTTTGGTACAATTTTCAATATATTACAATACACATGCCTGGTCATATATTTTGGTATGTTCCTCAGAATTACTGGGACAAATTATCATTATCAAATACCTTGTTACAATGTTACAGAGATAGAGCCGAGTCTGAGACAGGTCAGTTCCTCGATTCGCGGAACCAGTGGACTCCCATGGCCTACCAGGGAATGCCTGCCTCTGCCCCTGTCATCCCTCCACAGTCCCTCGCGACCATATACGAGGCTTCATCTGTGAGGAGCTCTCAGGACAACCCCCTTAGGAGCTCTCAAGAGATATCCACTCGTGTTTCGCAGGACCTGTTGCGGAGCTCACAAGAGGACTTCTCTGTTAGAAACTCTCGAGACCAGCCACTGCGGAGCTCGCAGGAGTACAGGGAACATCCCCTGCGGAGCTCGCAGGAGTACAGGGACCAGCCTTTGAGGAGCTCGCAGGAGTACAGGGATCAATCTCTGCGGAGCTCACAGGAGTACCAACAAGGGTATCAAGATTATCACCAGGCAGGTGGCGGGGCTATCAATTCTGGTGAAGAGTTTCAAAGTGATGGTTACCATAGTAACAACAGTGAACAGGAAAGTGCTACACCTAGTTATAACATAAATCCTCAGGCTTTTGATTGGATAAATCAGGCAACACAGGACAGTCATGTGACCCATCAGCAGTCATTGGGATTGCAAGGTGGATATGGGGGATACCAGGGTGGGGTAATGGATGACCACGTCTCGACACGGTATCCTGACCTCCCAGTTAGGCAGGAGACAGAAGGGGGCAACAATAAAGGTCCTTCCAGTGACCCTCAGACATACCACCCCCACCAAACCCAGGGCATCTATAGTGACACCTATCCTGAGGACCAGCCATTGGGAGGCAACTTTCAGCCATATACAGGTTTACCTCAATCCCAAGGCTACCAGTCTACCGAAGTCCCACCTCATTCTCAAGGGTTTCAGTCAGCAGGGGTCACACAGGACTATTATGCCCCTTCAGCTGTTAGTGATGACAGAAACTACGATACCCACAGTGCTGACCCCTACATGACCCATGATGAGGGTCAAAGTCACGATTCATATGGGTCATATGACCAGGGTCAAGGTCGTGGGAAGTTGCCCCAGTTACAGCTTGATTCCAAAGAATACCAAGAGGACTATCATGTACAGTATAAGAGAAGGCAGGGTGTGGCAGGGGAGCGGAGCGAGGAGGAGGACCGGATTCCTAGACGCGAGAAACCTAAAGCCCTCGAGGAAAAGACTGGTAGGTTATCATTACTGTTTGGTGATACAGTTGTGTCCTGTCATACAGGTGGGCCCAGTCACACAGGTGGGCCCAGTCAAACAGGTGTGCCCTGTGATACAGGTGGGCCCAGTCGTACAGGTGGGACCTGTGATACAGGTGGGCCCTGTGGTACAGGTGTGTCCTGTGATACAGGTGTGCCCTGTGATACAGGTGTGCCCAGTCATACAGGTGTGCCCTGTGATACAGGTGTGCCCAGTCATACAGATGTGCCCTGTGATACAGGTGTGCCTGTGATACAGGTGGGCCCTGTGCAACAGGTGTGTCCTGTCATACAGGTGTGCCCTGTGATACAGGTGTGTCCTGTCATACAGGTGTGTCCTGTGGTACAGGTGTGTCCTGTGATACAGGTGTGTCCTGTCATACAGGTGTGCCCTGTGATACAGGTGTGCCCTGTGATTCAGGTGTGCCCTGTGATACAGGTGTGCCCAGTCACACAGGTGTGCCCTGTGATACAGGTGTGCCCAGTCATACAGGTGTGCCCTGTGATACAGGTGGGCCTGTGATACAGGTGTGTCCTGTCATACAGGTGTGTCCTGTGATACAGGTGGCCCTGTGATACTGGTGTGCCCAGTCATACAGGTGTGCCCTGTGATACAGGTGTGTCCTGTCATACAGGTGTGCCCTGTCATACAGGTGGGCCAAGTCGTACAGGTGGGCCCTGTGATACAGGTGGGCCCTGTAATACAGATGGGCCTGTGATACAGGTGTGTCCTGTGATACAGGTGTGTCCTGTGATACAGGTGTGCCTGTGATACAGGTGTGTCCTGTGATACAGTTGTGTCCTGTGATACAGGTGTGCCTGTGAAACAGGTGGGCCCTGTGATATAGGTGTGCCCAGTGATACAGTCGTGCCCTGTGGTACAGGTGTGTCCTATGATACAGGTGTGCCTGTGATACAGGTGTGCCCAGTCATACAAGTGTGCCCTGTGATACAGGTGTGTCCTGTCATACAGGTGTGCCCTGTGATACAGGTGGGCCAAGTCGTACAGGTGTGCCCAGAGATACAGGTGTGCCTGTGATACAGGTGTGTCCTGTGACACAGGTGTGCCTGGTCATACAGGTGTGCCTGTGATACAGGTGTGTCCTGTGATACAGGTGGGCCCTGTGATTTAAAATTCACTCATATTGATAAACATGTTTAACATTGGATTGGTAAGCAGGAAATTCATAAAAAGTCGAATTTCATTATTTAACGAAATATTTAATTGTTACAATGTATACAAAATGTATTAGTTAACATTTATGTAGTGATTTACCTACTCACTTATATTGTAAGTTACTTAAGTTGAGAGTGGAGTTAAAATAGTGGTTTTCAGTGTAATGTTTCCAAGGTTTCAATTAAAAGTAATACAGAATTGTCATTGACACTGTCTAACTGCAAAACATTGTGTTTGTACAGAGGAGACGGGAGGCTTGGACCCAAGGCAGTACTCACAATTACAGGTCCTGTACAAGGCCCGTGGACGTAAGCTGGAGGAAATCACCAATGAGTACGAGATTCTCAAACAGGAGACAAGCCGAGAGATACGTATACTCAAACATCAGGTGTCTGTGGCCAAAGGTACAGTCCACTGTGTTTAATGTGTGTGGTGACCATACTGTCAGATATGTGTTTAATGTGTGTGGTGCCCATACTGTCGGATATGTGTTTGATGTGTGTGGTGACCATACTGTGGGATATGTGTTTAATGTGTGTGGAGACCATACTGTCGGATATGTGTTAAGTGTGTGTGGTGACCATACTGTCGCATATGTGTTTAATGTGTGTGGTGTCCATACTGTCGGATATGTGTTAAGTGTGTGTGGTGACCATACTGTCGGATATTTGAGAAATGGGGGTGGTGACCATACTGTCGGATATGGGTTTAATGTGTGTGGTGACCATATTGTCGGATCTGTGTTAAATGTGTGTGGTGACCATACTGTCGGATATTTGAGAAATGTGTGTGGTGACCATACTGTCGGATATGTGTTAAATGTGTGTGGTGACCATACTGTCGGATATGTGAGAAATGTGTGTGGTGACCATACTGTCGGATATGTGAGAAATGCGTGTGGTGACCATACTGTCTGATGTGTGTTTAATGTGTGTGGTGACCATACTGTCGGATATGTGTTTAATGTGTGTGGTAACCATACTGTCGGATATGTGTTTAATGTGTGTGGAGACCATACTGTCGGATATGTGTTTAATGTGTGTGGTGACCATACTGACGGATATGTGAGAAATGTGTGTGGTGACCATACTGACAGATATGTGAGAAATGTGTGTGGTAACCATACTGTCGGATATGTGAGAAATGTTTTGAATCTGTACTTTGATCTGTTGAATCTCTTCTGCGACCTGTTGAGCATGTTAAATCAGCTAATCATCAGACTGTGTATCATCATAATTAGGTCACCTGAGCTTTGCTCAAATGACCTATTCTAATCGCTTTTCGTCCGTCATCGTCCGTCGTGCGTAAACTTTTTACATTTTCAACTTCTTCTCAAGAATCAGTGGAGGGATTTTTTTTAAACTTGGTCAGAATCATCCTTGGTAGATGAGGGTGGGGCCCCAAAGGGAAAATTAACCAATATTTCAAAAATCTTCTTCTCCAGACTCAGAGGTACTACAGTAATTTTCTCTGCATGGAAAGAAAGATCATCAGGGGCTTTATTTAAATTGTAAATTTCAGGACCCTCAAGCTATCTGTTCTCCCTTGGGGAGGGGTTAAAGTTTACTATAGATTATATAGGGAAATAACACTTTTGGGTACATTTTGACAACTTTTTGTAGGAAATTATTTTTACTTGGTGAGAATTATCCTTGGAGGAAGATGGTTTCAAATTGTAAAATTGAGATTCCTTCCCCAGACCCAAAGGGAAAATTAACCAATATTTCAAAAATCTTCTTTTCCAGACTCAGAGGTACTACAGTCATTTTCTCTGCATGGAAAGAAAATCATCAGGGGCTTTATTTAGATTGTAAATTTCAAGACCCCCGTGCTATCCGTTCTCCCTTGGGGAGGGGGCAAAGTTTACTATAGTTTATATAGGGAAATAACACTTTTGGGTATATTATATCCATTTCAGCAGAAAATTACTCAAACTTAGTCAAAATCATCTTTGGTGAATGAGGGTATTACATTGTAAAATTGGGATTCCTGCCCCATACCCAGGGGCTAGGGCGGGGCCCCAAAGGGAACATTTACCAATATTTTCAAATTCTTATCCTTTGATGACATGACAAGTATTGTATTTCACTTAGTTAACATGCTGATTTCCACATCACATCTAAACAATAAAATAAAGCTACCAGTACCTATAATATAACTCAGGTGACCGCTAAGGCCCTTGGGCCTCTTGTTTATTATGCTTGTCAGATCTGTATGGTGACTAAATTGTGAGTTGAAACAGTGGGATGATGGCCTGTAGAATAGAAGCTTAACGATTTGTTGAATTGTTTTGCTATATCAGTGAAATCATGTGACATGTTGAACACCAGACCCTTTAACTGTTGTTAGGTGAGCAAGAGGCTGCCACTACTAGTCTGAAGCAGGTCCAGGATCTACTGAAGGAGAGCAAGGGAGATAATGCCCAACTTCTGGGGCGGAATAAGGCTGTAGAGACAGAAGTTGATGTCCTGAAGAAAAGCAAGGATGAGGTAAGAGGAAGCTGTAACACGTGTGTCGCACATGTTGTAATCATCATGGAAACTGAGGTTAAATTAATGAAAATTAAAATGAAATTTAGTTTCAACCAGATGATTCAGACAAAATTTAAATTTCAGTACCTATTTTGTACTGCATATGCACCATAAATAAACCTTTTCGCTCCTAAGTCATTTACAAAACTGGAATAAATCCTATAAAATCTTAACTTATAAGATATACATGATGTAGTATTAACAGGGAATATAACCTTTATATATGCCCAGGTGCTGAAGAAGCTCCATGTGGCCGAGTCTAACATTGAGAGTCTGAACCAGCAGCTACTCGACCTGGGGAACAGCGAGAGTCTGGCCCGCGCACGCCACGACCACGAAGTGGTCATAGCTGGTATACAGCGCAAACACCAACAGGAGGTCAAGGTTGCAAACGAGAAAATACAGGAGCTCCACACACGTATCTCGGATCTGGTAAACATTGTTCTGTAGTTAACAACAGCTGTCAGGTCATCAGATCAAAAGTCTTATTACCTGTGTCTTGTGTGATGTACACGGATTCATTGAAACCAAGAAAATTTATGATTTGCCATGTAGCAAAAATACTCAGAAAATTATTAATAATCTCATATATATATTATATAGTAAAATATCTGTATATGTTTGTTTGATTAATAGCGTTGTGTCTGTCGGTATTTCGTTAGTGTAACGGATCACATATGTTTGGGTGTAGGCTCTGTGTAATGGATCACAGATGTTTGAGTGTAGGCTCTGTGTAAATGGATCACAGATGTTTGAGTGTAGGCTCTGTGTAATGGATCACAGATGTTTGGGTGTAGGCTCTGTGTAATGGATCACAGATGTTTGAGTGTAGGCTCTGTGTAATGGATCACAGATGTTTGAGTGTAGGCTCTGTGTAATGGATCACAGATGTTTGAGTGTAGGCTCTGTGTAATGGATCACAGATGTTTGAGTGTAGGCTCTGTGTAATGGATCACAGATGTTTGAGTGTAGGCTCTGTGTAATGGATCACAGATGTTTGAGTGTAGGCTCTGTGTAATGGATCACAGATGTTTGAGTGTAGGCTCTGTGTAATGGATCACAGATGTTTGAGTGTAGGCTCTGTGTAATGGATCACAGATGTTTGAGTGTAGGCTCTGTGTAATGGATCACAGATGTTTGAGTGTAGGCTCTGTGTAATGGATCACAGATGTTTGAGTGTAGGCTCTGTGTAATGGATCACAGATGTTTGAGTGTAGGCTCTGTGTAATGGATCACAGATGTTTGAGTGTAGGCTCTGTGTAATGGATCACAGATGTTTGAGTGTAGGCTCTGTGTAATGGATCACAGATGTTTGAGTGTAGGCTCTGTGTAATGGATCACAGATGTTTGAGTGTAGGCTCTGTGTAATGGATCACAGATGTTTGAGTGTAGGCTCTGTGTAATGGATCACAGATGTTTGAGTGTAGGCTCTGTGTAATGGATCACAGATGTTTGAGTGTAGGCTCTGTGTAATGGATCACAGATGTTTGAGTGTAGGCTCTGTGTAATGGATCACAGATGTTTGAGTGTAGGCTCTGTGTAATGGATCACAGATGTTTGAGTGTAGGCTCTGTGTAATGGATCACAGATGTTTGAGTGTAGGCTCTGTGTAATGGATCACAGATGTTTGAGTGTAGGCTCTGTGTAATGGATCACAGATGTTTGAGTGTAGGCTCTGTGTAATGGATCACAGATGTTTGAGTGTAGGCTCTGTGTAATGGATCACAGATGTTTGAGTGTAGGCTCTGTGTAATGGATCACAGATGTTTGAGTGTAGGCTCTGTGTAATGGATCACAGATGTTTGAGTGTAGGCTCTGTGTAATGGATCACAGATGTTTGAGTGTAGGCTCTGTGTAATGGATCACAGATGTTTGAGTGTAGGCTCTGTGTAATGGATCACAGATGTTTGAGTGTAGGCTCTGTGTAATGGATCACAGATGTTTGAGTGTAGGCTCTGTGTAATGGATCACAGATGTTTGAGTGTAGGCTCTGTGTAATGGATCACAGATGTTTGAGTGTAGGCTCTGTGTAATGGATCACAGATGTTTGAGTGTAGGCTCTGTGTAATGGATCACAGATGTTTGAGTGTAGGCTCTGTGTAATGGATCACAGATGTTTGAGTGTAGGCTCTGTGTAATGGATCACAGATGTTTGAGTGTAGGCTCTGTGTAATGGATCACAGATGTTTGAGTGTAGGCTCTGTGTAATGGATCACAGATGTTTGAGTGTAGGCTCTGTGTAAATGGATCACAGATGTTTGAGTGAAGGCTCAGTGTAATGGATCACAGATTTTTGAGTGAAGGCTCTGTGTAACGGATCACAGATGTTTGAGTGTAGGCTCTGTGTAATGGATCACATATGTTTTAGTGTAGGATCACAGATGTTTGGGTGTAGGCTCAGTGTAATGGATCACAGAAGTTTGAGTGTAGGCTCTGTGTAATGGATCACAGATGTTTGTGTGTAGGCTCTGTGTAATAGATCACAGATGTTTGAGTGTAGGCTCTGTGTAATGGATCACAGATGTTTTAGTGTAGGATCACAGATGTTTGGGTGTAGGCTCAGTGTAATGGATCACAGATGTTTGAGTGTAGGCTCTGTGTAAATGGATCACAGATGTTTGGGTGTAGGGTCTGTGTAATGGATCACAGATGTTTGGGTGTAGGCTCAGTGTAATGGATCACAGATGTTTGAGTGAAGGCTCTGTGTAATGGATCACAGATGTTTGGGTGTAGGCTCTTGGCAAGATTTAAAGTCAGTTGTTGACATCCTAGTTCCTGTATAAGACTAGAATAGACAAGTTTTGAAAACACCTAAACATTTTTTACAGAGCGGTGAGAACAAGACTCTGCGTCAGAAGTTGGAGGAAAGCTACCAGTCGGCTGAAAAGGCCCAGATTTCGCGCGCAGAGACCATCAACCGTCTGACTCGCAGTCTAGAGGACTCTCAGAAACAGTGTCAGGCTCTGCTCGAGTCAAGTCAGTACAGCATATAAATACTAAACACCTTTCTTCAAGTCACACCGGTCTATACCGACCACCTGTGTATATTGACCACCTATCTTGATCTTCCAACTACTAATTTATAAATTCCTCCTGTCTAGATTTCCTATTTGTTTATATAGAAACTCTAACCTGTATGACAACCATGTCTGTACCTAGTCTTTTCAATGATCTTCACAAACAGGTTTGAATGTTACTGATCTACAAATATTGCATTCACTTTTTGTAATTTATGTCAAGATATATGCCATTTTTTGACTTGCAGAAAATTGTAAAATTTAATTATGCTACTGTAAAATAAAGTAACTGCCTGTAGATATTGTGTAGTGAGTTACGTGTGTAACTAAGAATGTATCTGTAGCTGTTGTATTGTAGCGTCCTCACATGAACTCAGTCAGATAAAGATACAGCTTCAACAGACGATTGCCTCCAGGAAAATTGCTGATGACATGTGTCATACCTACCAGGTACAGTACGGAGCCCCATATTAATTACAGACTATGTGTCATACCTACCAGGTACAGTACCGAGCCCCGTGTTAATTACCGACTATTACCATGTTTTGATATTATAGGGTACATTATATAGGACTTAATTTGAGGTTTATCCTGGAAATACAGACTGACCCAAACAACACTGATTGAGGTTGCTCAGATCATTGTAAGTCATGGATTGACAGAAACCAAATTCTAGAGTTATATTATATTTTAAATTGAATCCACTCACCCCTCATGTCACATTTGAATCACCCTAAATCAAAGGACGGCCTAGTCCATTACACTGTCTGAACAGCTTATTTCTGTTGGTTGAATGAGGTCTGGACAAGGCCTGGAAGGGATATACAGACTCTAGATCTCCTCCAATCAGAGATGTGAATAAGCAGCAGACATATAATAATTCAAGTAATGTTAAGTTAATTTATGAAGGAAATATGGGACACTTTATATTTCTTAAGTCCACAATATGAAGCTAAATATGAATTGGCAATAATCAATTGGACAAAACTTAAGATTTATTAGCTCACCTGGTCCAGAGGACCAAGGTGAGCTTATGCCATACCGTGGCGGCCGTCGGCCGTCGTCCGTCCGTCAACAATTTCTTTAAACGACTTCTTCTTCTTAACCACTGATTGGAATTTAACTAAATTTGACTGGAAGCATCCTTAGGTCGTGGGGAATCAAAATTGTACAAATGGTGGGGCTGACCCCCCAGGGGGCTGAGGGGCGGGGCAAAAAGGGGGCAATTTGGCTATATTGCTTTAAGCGACTTCTTCCCTGGAACTAAGAGATGGATATCAACCATATTTGATTGGACGCATCCCTACGTGGTGGAGATTTAAAATTGTACAAATGGTTGGGCTGACCCCCCAGGGGGCTGAGGGGCATGGCCATAAAGGGGGCAATTTGGCTAGATTGCTATAAACGACTTCTTCTGTAGAACTATGCACTGGATATCAATCATATTTAATCAAAAGCATTCATGGGATGCAGGGATTCAAAATTGTACAAATGGTGTGGCTGACCCCCCAGGGGGCTGAGGGGCGGGGCCAAAAAGGGTTATTTGGCTATATTGCTTTAAAGCGACTTCTTCTCTGGAACTAAGTGATGGATATCAACCATATTAGACTGGAAGCATTCCTAGGTGGTGG